ACAAGTGTATATTTTTAACTGGCAGAGACCAGTGTAGCACATTAATGGAGCCTCAGTCTCTCCCACTGCAGGATCTTAGTACAACCGGCAGCTTTATGTCATCAATTCTCAGCTGACCACACCCTTGTGGGATGGATAGGACGCCCCCCAGTGGTCACTCTGAAAAGCGCCCTGTGTTGCAGGTGTGTGGCGCACTCAGTTTGACCCTCGCATGACCACCACTGACCTCTTCTACTTGGATAGAAACACGGCCGTGCCCGTCGACATGATGGTGGGGCCCAAATACCCACTGAGATTGCACACCCTCGGTGAGCTGAACACGCAGGTAGGGGGCGCTCTCTGCAGGTCCCGTTCCCCTATTCTCGGTGGCTTTGCTGCACGCGTCGCACACTCGGATCAAAGCTCCCTCTCCAGCTGAGGCCTGTCTGCAGGAGCGCAGCGAAGTCCTGAAGAATGAGGCCAAGAAAGCTCAGCTCCCAGGCTCGAGCAAAGACATCATCTGGGGATTTGTTTTTAAATGTGCTTGTAGTTTAGTTTAAAGTGTTTTCTCAGTGAAAGGATTAATGCAGGGTAGGTTTCTGCCAACCTCTCTCCCTCTCTTCTCTTCCACTCCCCCCTCCTCCCTCTGTCCTCCCCTCTCTCTCTCTCCAGGTGGCTCGGTTCCAGTTCAAAGGAAATATGAGTCTTCTGACGTTTGTCCCGTTAGTGGGACAGCTCAACGTCTCAGCCATTGCCGACCACTTCAACGCCTCTGAGCTGTACAGTCGCTTCTCTCGTGAGCGCCCCATGTCTGTCAAGCTACCCAAACTCAACCTGGAGTACAGCCAGGACCTCAGGGAAGTCTTCACTGCCATGGGTAAGAGCTACTGGGTCTGTCAGCCAATCAGTCAACCACCCACCCATCAATCGATCCATCAGTCCAGCAGTCAATCACCAAACCAATCAATCAAGCCCATGAATTCTCATACAGCACCTTTCAGTCCAGAGCATTCCCAAGGCACTTCACAAACATCATACAAAGTACAGTCAACCAAAAATGCAACAAAACAACGGATAAATGTGAAGGTTTTTTAAAAAAAGAAAGAGATTAGGAATTCAAGGTCATTGAACACAAGTAGGTCTTAAGGAGAGGTTTGTGCATAAAACTGCATGAAAGTGTTTACTGTTTACCTTGACATAATGACAGTGTTACTTAAGATACAAGTAGTCTTAAGTGCAAAAAAGCTTCTTATTTCTGGCTCATATCCTCTTATCATTGGGCCATTCTTCCTGTGGTGTATCCCAAGACCAAGTTTGCCCAGGATTACTTCTCAAAATTGACCCTAGACAATACCTCATGACTCATTGCTGTTCGCACCCGGGCCCAGGTCCATCCCTGGTCCTGCCCGCCACATCTCCATCTCCTGTGCAGCCATTCAGCAGTGGGGCCCAAGCCTGCCGTTAGTCAGCTCCCATCATGCCCTGCAGGGATGCACTCTGGGTCTGTTCTCCTCTTTCGCCCATCAGAAGATGTTACAACTGGGTCAGAAAACAGGTCTCAGTGTGTCTGGTTTTTTTTGGATGCTTCTTGCAGAGCTGCTAGTTTGGAGCTGCGGAATCACGCTCGTGGCTTTTCGGGGAAGGCTGGAGAGCCCCAATACCCTGCTCCTGGGGTGCAGTCGCTCTCCTCACAACCAAGATGTTCCTGACATATGTCTCCCTCTCCCTCCTCCCTCTCTCTCAGGGCTGGGGGAGCTGTTCTCAGGTCCAGACCTGTCCGGGATCGGACCCGGCCCCCTGCTCGTGTCCAGTGTGCAGCACAAGTCCACCATGGAGGTGAACGAGCAGGGGGCGGAGGCGGCGGCGGCGACCTCGGTCGTCATCTCCCGCTCCAGCTTCTTCTTCTCACTCAACCGCCCCTTCTTCTTCGCCCTGCTGGATGACACCTCCCACACCCCCCTCTTCCTGGGTGTGGTCACGAACCCCAACCCTGGAGCGCCGCTCGTGAAGAAAGACGACCCTGACAAATTCGGGCCCAGATTTAGCAAGCAATATGGACACCCCAACCCAAAATAAGACACACAGTGCCCAGTGAACTGGAACTGCAACTCCTGGCCAGCAGGGGGCTTCAGGTCTAAAACACTAGTCACATACAGAGGCATACCAGCACACACAGGCACACACACGCAAGGAAGTGGCTCGCACCATCTGCTTTCCCCTTCAGGCTCTTTTCTCGCCAGATCCCCCTCCTGTTGTGGTTCGTCCTGCAGGAATCCCTAGCTTAGATCCCTAAGATTGCTGTTGACTGCAGCAGGCCACTGATATCACCCTGATATCCCCACTGACATGGACTGCAATAGGCCCGCAGATATCACCCCAGGTCCTGAATGGAACCCAGGATCCCAGCACTGTGAGGCTGCGGCGTTCATCACTGCCCCACCATGCCACCCTGTTCCAAACACATAAGCAAATAATGCTTCTGTAAGAGGATCTGAAGCCCGTTGTTACGGAGGATAGCAGTATAACGGAAGTGTTAGTGTTTTCTTTTACAGCAGCCCATCCTCACCACCAGCACAGCTCTAATTAATGCCTCATTCCCACCCGGGCTTAAATCACCATGAGGGATAAGTTACGAAAGGTATTATATCAGATAAAGAGTATTATCTGATGGCTTAGTTTTCAGTGTAAAGGCAGTGTACGTTGCCAAAGACAGCGGGTTTAATTAAATAACTGGGTGCTGGCTGGATTGGTACACCTGCTTTATTAAGAGGGTTGAGGAAGTGGATGGCTGGAGCTGAGCGGCTCTACATTGTGATGCCACAAGGGCACAACTGTCTCCACCACCAGGACATTTGCTCATGTCCAGGCTTATGAGGTCCTACCTCAGGCTTGTGGGGTCCTTCCTCAGGACTGGGGGGTCTGCATGTGGGGGTCCTTGCGCAGGCTTTTGGGGTCATTCCTCAGGACTTGGGGTCTGCTTGTGGGGTCCTTGCTCAAGCTTGTGGGGTCCTTGCTCAGGATTGGGGTTCCTTCTTCAGGATTGGGGGTCCTTGGCCAGGTTTCTGGGGTCCTTGCTTAGAAGCTGGGCTGTTGGAATAGCAAGGTGAGAGGGTCAGGGAGTGCCAAAGCCCAGGGATGGCGTGGAGGAGCAGCTGATGGCCGACACAGGATGGGGGGAATACAGGAGGAGAGAAAGGCAGATGGTACCTGCTGCTTCTAAACAAAAGCCGAACTCACAAACAAAAGCAAACCAAGTATCCAGAATAAAGCCAATACACTTTGTGGCAAAAGACTTTGATTCCCAGCTGAAACCTGTTGTTTGTTTGGTATACAATAACTTTTTTTTAGGCGTCAATATAACAGTGCTGTTGTGGTTGTGTTTAATTTTAGCAGAGAATTCATGTCTTTCTAAGTTTCATAGCTACATGACCCTGTTGATCTTTCTGTTGTTTGTCAATTAAAGGTGACAAAAGAATTGACTGGTGTTTCTGTTGCTTGTTCACTGAGCGGCAGTGGGAGCCTGTGACGTCAGTGTTTCCTCTTCAGGAGAAAGGCACTGACAGGGCGTTCAAAAGCACCCTTGGGTCACTTCAAAGTTATTTACTCCTCGTCCTTTTTATATTCCTGGCTTCAGGGCGCATGCCCAAAAACGTTCATGACATGACAGATCTCCGAGACGGGGATGAGGTGACGGAGAGGGAGGGAGGGACAGAGAGCCTCAGCGCACTGCACTGGGCTGTGTCCCTCCCTGACAGTCCGTCCCCCTGCGCCGCAGACCGGACTGTTACCGGAACAGGCAGCGTGGCTGTAGAGCCAGAACACTCCCACGCAGCTGGGTCTGCACCGGCGAGACCGGGAAGGGGAGGTGAACGCAGAACAGCTAACCGCTAATTTGGGAAGGACACAGGATGTTTGGATTTCCCGTCTCTGCCTTGGGTCCGGAGTGACAGGCAGTGGGAATCTTGTGGTCCGTCTCCCAGTCGCTGTGCCGGCGCTGCTTGTGAGCTCTGAGTGCAGTGATTATGAGCGAACGCAGCCCTCACCATAAACATGCAATCATCCCTGTGAAAACTGCAATCGTCCTCTTCCCGGCAGACTGGTCATTAAGTGCCACACTCTGCGAACCACCCCCCTGCTGCAGCTCTGAGACACACGGCAGCCTCTGATTCAGCTGATCAAGCTGTTTGATTTCAGGGCACAGGGACTTAGGCTACATCTATAACTGACTACAAACACCTCTGGAGCTGACCGGTGAAATCATAATAAAAACATGGTAAGAAACTGTCATGTAATTGTTGTCTGAAAGCTCTATGAGGTTATGTAAAGAAGAGGACAGTCCATCAGGAGCAACAGCTCATGTCTGTAGCATTACAGAACCCCTCGCAGAGATCACCTCCCGCCAACGACACAGCTCCCAGCTCGTACAGCTGGGCAGACTGGAGCCCCTGAGGTCACGGCCCGACTCGGGGCACTGCGGCAGGGGACTCGAACCCGCCACCCACCAGTCACGAGCACAAAAAAGGCTCCCCCACTACACTACCCCAGTGAGGGGTGCATTTAAGAGCCAGTAAACTTTACAGAAGCATTGTGAGAGGTTTTGAGCAAGAAGAGGTTCTGGAATATACAAAGTTAACAAGGAAGTTATATCTTATATTTTATCTATATATAATTCTATTTTTTTTTGGTTGTAAAAATTACCAAAGTGAATGCTGAAATTCATCTGATTGGGCAGCAGGCAGGCAGCCCGCCCTGATTATAAAGAGATGCATCACCGTTGTTGGTTTGCCCAGTGAGAGAATCCATTTTACAAGGAATCACCCTGTTTTAATGATGCTTTTTATCCGAAGCGAATTCCAGTGGTACCCATTTCGGCAGCAGGACCCCTTACCGGAGTGATCCGAGAGACATCCTGCCCAGGGGAACCCGGCGCTGCCCCGTACCCGTTCTCTGACCCTCTGAGCGCCCGTCCAGCCCCGTAGCCGGAGCCCCTGAGCCCTGACCGCTCCGCCTCCGGCCAGTGACTCACCGCACGCCGGCTCAGGACCGCCCGCGGCTCGGCTCGGCTCGGCTCTGTAATTCAGGGAGCCTCCCCACGCCGCCTGTTCAAAACCCATCTTCCACTTCTCCCCTCCTGGCAATATTTACACGTAATGTGTGTTTACGGTTTGGGGAGAAAAGTCAGAGCTGGGTAAATAACGGTTTGTTGTAAATGACCAGCCTTATCCACCACGTCTCTCATCCACCGCACAAGACGGCCCGGGAATAGAACGAGACTATTTTCTCCCCTGTTTTTCTCTTGTTGTTTTTTTTTTTTTTTTGCTGATGTCGAGCAAGGAGTTATTTTTATCACGTCTGTGCGCGGATCGATCCAAACACTCGCAAAACGCAGGAACATACAGTTTGCATGAAATAGGGAAGGGGAGGGGGTGTGTGGGGGGGGCAGTCAGTAAAAGTTTATGCTTATGGCTCCGTGGGGTGGCTCTGGCCACGTCTGGGCTCGTGCTGTGAAAACGCTGGAGGCGGCCGCACGCGCTGGCGGCCCCTGCACAAATGTTCCGTCTCGAGGGCATTTTTTCCGTCCCGCGCGGCCGCGATCCCACGTCACGTGGTTCGCGTTTTCCGTCGAAAACTGCGAACATCGACTTAAAAGCGTAATAAACTGCACATGTCGGCGAGGCCGGAGAGACATTCCTCTCCTTGGTATGTCAGGGAACTAGTGTTACTGCAGCGCAGCCCCAGTCATGTTGTGGGTGTGTGTGCGCGGCTTCAAACTAACATCTACATGAACGTTAATAACATTTTAATAAAACGTTTCACACGTCCCTCCTCATCACAAGCCTGGACTCTAATGTCGTCTTTGAAGGCGGCGAATTACATAGTACATGTCTTTTCTTGCGCTCGAGGTTTTGTTGCTATTTGTGCAGACCGTGCTGTTACAAATCTGTTTGGCTGAATTGAGCAACTAAGCCGGGCAGCTGGAGCTGGAGCCTGTGCCTAGTTACAGAGGCCGTCATTATCGCTGTTTGTCCAGTGATAGGGTTAGTCCCCTGGCCGGGGAGACGGGCCGATGAGGAGCGTGCCCCAGCGTGCCGGGGCGCCTCGCTAGCACAGCGCGCTGGCGGCCAGCCGGCTCCGGCACGGCGACGTCACAGCCCAGCTGGGCTAGATAAAGAGCCGGGCTCGGGCTGGGGCGCCTCACTGGTGTCGGATCAAGGCGAGGACGCGTCGGTCGCAGCTGCGGGATCTCCTCTCAGAACAGAGCCTAGCTTTGCAAGGTCAGTCCCAGACTTTTCCTCGGCTTAGCCGCTACACGGAGACGTGGAAGCGTCCCCAGAGCCGCGGTCGCCGTCTGCTGTCCGGGCCGGGGTTCGAGCCGTCGATCTGACAGCGAACGCGGAGTTGAGAGTGTTCGCCCGGCTTTGACTTGATCAGAGTTTACTTGCGTGTGTCGCCAATGCGTGAAGTGTGCGTTTGTGCGGCGCTTCAGTAAAACGAATAACTCCCCAGCTACCGCACTACGTT